CTTATCCTTAAAGTCGAAAACTATGTCCAAATTTGTAAAGATTCCTATTTTCAGAGAAATTTATAAGTTGATATGATATAAATTTTCGCAAAGATCGTTCTTGGAAAGGTTGATAACAAATACAAGTCTAATTCACTTCGTCAGAGATCAAACCCCAGCTAAAAAAATAGTATAAGTTTAATCACCATTGTTCAATATATATATATATATATATATATATATATATATATATATATATATATATATATATATATATATATATATATATATATATATATATATATATATATCCCATAAAAAATAAATATAATCATAATTATTAAGCCAAATTTTGTATCTTTTTTATTTTTATTACAATTGTTTATTCTTCGAGATTACTTATTATCAGTTAGATATGACTATTTTGAGATAGGTATCATATAAAGTTTACATTTAAATAATTAATTGACTAGTCTCCTTGTAACTTTAGCTTAATGTAACCCCTTATTTGTGCCCACTGAATTATTCGTATAGGAGCAGTATAACATATTATTATTACATGCTTTTTAATCAACTTTGTTGTTGATTAAAATTACCATATCAGTATGAAATTTTGATTTTGTTTGAAATATTGTTTTAAAGGATTCCAACATCAAACTTTATGAACTGAATGAAAACTGCCATTGTATGATGGTATGCGACAATTTAGTAGACCTAAAATGTAAGTCCAGAAGGTTATTGCATTGTCTGTAGATACACAAGTCTTGGGAACAGAGAAAATCAACTCAGAACAAAATCCCAAAGACAAGTGTTATCAGGGATTTTTGTCCTACAGGACTTTTGTCGGGGGAGTGCGTCCTGTACCCGATATTCATTCATTGGTCATTTATGAGAGAGAGAGAGAGAGAGAGAGAGAGAGAGAGAGAGAGAGAGAGAGAGAGAGAGAGAGAGAGAGAGAGAGAGAGAGAGAGAGAGAGAGAGAGAGAGAGAGAGAGAACAAATAGCAGTAGTCATCTTATGTACTATTTATATTTCAGGCTAGCGTAAACAAACATTGACAACAACTATGCGGATTCAGAAAGTAAAAGAGTGAGTGGTTGGTGTCTGTTTGAATTCGTGTCAAGTGCATTAGGATGCTTTATGGAATTACTTTCACACATTCACTAAATTAAAGTTTTATATTGAGTTCGTGCTTGAGAAAAGAAAGTGCAGGATGTTTCGACGAAGAATAAGTCATCTCGGTCCAGTCTCCCTTAATAAACACAATGAAGGTGTGCGACGTGAATATGACGTCATGATGGTGAGCAAAGTACATCGATGTGCAATGACATATCATTACTGTAAAGTATTTCTAATGATTGGCGTGTTCTAATTTGTATGCATCGAAACGTGGATTCTAACTACATATTGAATGACGAGGCAAAGACGATTGTCTTTCCAAGTGCTAGTTATGACTAAATCTATAGTAGGTTTGGAAATCACCTACTCGACGCATGCAAGAACAATGGTATACACATTGAAAATGGAACAATAGGTGACGATGCCGATACGGATCCATGTATTTGTATTCGGTTTAACGCCATTTCTCAGCCCAAAATAGGTCACACATGGCAAGCAGTATAACTGATGGAGGAGGAACCCAGGAAAAACTCGGTTAGAACTACGAGCCACGGGAAGCTAATGGCATCTTTCTCACATGCCCCCATTGGTAGTCCGATATATCTATCCCGCTTCCAGCCTGTGTTGATACTGATGGGCGATATACGAGTCTGATGTCACCTGTTCATCAAAATGTGCAATTTTGCTTCATGCATATATTCTGGAACATATCTGCGTACACTCCAGACACATATCTGCGTACACTTAGAGGCATTTGGTAACAGCCATATCTTACGCAAAATTTAAAATTGCCACGGGACAGAGGGTTGTGCAATTTCACGTCTACATTTTAGCGGACCGAACAGCTATATCGGTGCTTTATTCTAGCGACATCTATTGGATTTCATGTGTTGCCTCCTTTAGTATCCGTTGTCACCTAACCAACAGTGTGGTGCATTGCACATCTGCCGAAATCGTTGGTGGCAATTGACCTAAAAATATACTTTGTAAGTTTAACACCGAAAGTATGACTGTGTAGTAAGTGGAAGCCATTACATGTCTGTTTGAGTGAAGGACACACGGTACTGATGGTAAGGATAAAGGAAATCAGCATGAAATGGGTGAATCATGAAAGGTATTTGTGCAAGCACGAACTGGCACTGGCAAAGTGTTTACTTATCAGTCCATTCAAGTTCTGTTCTGCGCTTGTCTTGATTGCGTAGGAACAGTGTTCAAATATGACCAATCTAATTTTGATTGGTTTCGGTGGCTTGCCGCCGCATCCCCTTGAAATTCACAGACCCGAAGCACAGAAATATCTACTCGATATGCCAAGGTGTATATAGGGTAATTGGAACATTGACTAGCGAAGACACATACCATTAAGTTTCAATACTGTGTGTGTGTGTGTGTGTATATATATACATTCCGACAAGTTTGATAATGCAAATGAAGCTGAAAATAAGTCACAAGATTCTGTTCAAAATGCTTACTAAATATTATCTTTAGTTTTAGAATAATTACTATACTAATTCTCCCGACGGTGACTGAGTGACCTCCCCCCCCCTTTGCGAAAAGCTCAGGACCACCATCACCCTGCAAAAAATCCTGCAGACACCCATGACTTTGAGTAAATAACGACGTTAAAGATGAATGCCACTTTGTCTAAAGCTGTCTTCTGAATTAGATAGTTTTATATTGGTCCTTATTAGTGACAGAAACCAAACGTACAAACTGCAACAATTACTAAAAAATATGAAGGTTTAAGAACTATAAAATACCCAGGTAAAAATGTGTACTATGCATTGTATTGCAATTAAGATACCCTCTCTCTCTCTCTCTCTCTCTCTCTCTCTCTCTCTCTCTCTCTCTCTCTCTCTCTCTCTCTCTCTCTCTCTCTCTCTCTCTCTCTCTCTCTCTCTCTCATGTGTATACAGGTTTTTCATTTCTGCATGTATTGCATCTGCATTATGTAATGTATCATGCTGTTATGTATTGACTATGTTATGTATTGACTAGGTTATGTATTGACTATGTTATGTATTGACTATGTTACGTATTGACTACGTTATGTATTGACTATGTCTTGTTGTTTATTTCAAATTAATAAAGCTATTTTTCTGTTAGGTTCCGTGATGCCTGGCTAACCTGGAGACTTGGGTTTTATTTTTATTTTATTTATTTTTATTTTTTTTTGCAGAATGAGGATTGTGTACGTTACGATAGATAAATGGGAACGCCAGAAACTCAAACGAGATGAATAAAAAATTAAGTAATGTCAATTTCCTCATCGTCATATAGTATTTTATTTATAAACTGTATTCATATAAAATGTACATTTGTTAATAGAAATACTCGACTTCGGATCGGTTGTAGAGACGAGGAGGAAGAGAGGTAAAACATGCTGGTCTTTTATTATCTTTCATATCTTGTATTTGTTATTATGTTGTTGATAAACTTACGACAATTAAAGCAATTAAAGCACTACCTACATCTTTATCTCCTTTTGTTGCCTGTTTTTAAAATGTGACCTGATACAATACATTTTGATGTTGTCCATAGCGTGTTAGAAAGCTGATAAATGAACCTCAATCAAGAATTTTAGCTGAAAAATGTGCTCATCCGTTTTTCGGATAGTCCCGAAATCAATATTGTCGACGACTAGAACATCTCTAATACTATACAATATTTGTATAGTAAGTGCCCCCCTCCCGTGTCCAGCCCATCCACACCCACACCTTGCGCCCCAGAGGTGACCACCTTAATCAATGATTTTGCTGACAAAGGACACACAGTTAGCCATTTTGCATAGGTGCTCTTTGGGATAAAATAAGGCGATCATGAAAAGCCAGCGTTGTTGATGTAATAGGTGCAAAAGTAAGTGTAGGAGAGAAAAATATTCGGCATGTATCCAGGCAATATACAACTTTAGTGACTGCATCAAAAGCAAACTAGTTATTGGTTATAATAGTAGTATTCGCGTTTTTTTTTTTTAAAGCCTTCCAAGATGAAACAGGGGATCCAACATGCTTGCAAATGAAAATTTATTCATTTTTGATGAAGTAATGAGCAAGTGACTATGTGTTGACAAGAATATCTAATAGTAAAAAAAATCTCTGTGGAACTATGACATTCATTTAAATTCTCTTAATATTAGTAGATGAAACAAATTTCTCTTTAACTGTATTAGATAGCTTCACTCTTAACAATGCATGGCACAGTTCATTGTTGTAGATGTTTCAGTATACCTAAGATATATATGATCTTTTATGTTTACAATGTTTTTATTTTATATTTTTAATTTATATGTGTGAACTATGTAGTATGAAATAAAGAATTCTTATCTTACTCTTTTTTTATACAATATAAACTCTGAAGTATGTAGTAGAAAATCTGAGAAATCCAAATTCTTATCAACACGAAAACTATGAGCATAATGGTGTGATATTTTTATTAATAAACTGATGAACTGACTTGTGTGTGTGTGTGTGTGTGTGTGTGTGTGTGAGTGCGTGCGTGCGCGCTTGCTTTGTTTATTTAAACAGTTTATGCAGAAGTCATCATGGAAAGTACGTAAATATTGAACAAGAAGTCCTCATAGGATTGAACTACTTAGATCACTCTCCCTTGACAATAATCTCGACTTTGATAATGTGGTACGCATTAGTAATGATGTGATGTGATTATGATTTTTAACGTAGCTTTAACAATTTTTCAGTCATATCGCTACGATGTCTGCAGTGTGGCAGTTTATAGTGATTATAGTGGTGTCTTGCACTGGGGCATTATGCCACAGACATGTAGCATGATGTCCCACCCAGTCACATTATCCTGACACCAGGCCAACCAGTCGTAACACTAACCTCTTAATGCTGAGCTCCAAGCTAGGAAACTGTTAGTACCATTTGTGTAAGTCTTTGGTATGACTCGACCGGGGATAGAACCCAAGACATCCCGCATCCGAAGCGGACGCTCTAACCACTAGGCCATTGGCAAGGAAGGCCGAAACAAACACTGAACAAGAAAAACACGTTAATGAGATATTTTTTTAACATTTGTACATACAATATTGTAATAACATCATACAATATAGTAATAACATCATACAGTATTATGATAACATCATACAGTAACTAATAAATATTTATAGCAGAAACATATGACATTATACTTTAAAAACAAAATATTAAACTGTTATTGTTCGTTGTGGGGAGGTAAAGGAATATTCAATTATGTGTGTGTATGTGTGTGTGTGTGTGTGTGTGTGTGTGAGAGAGAGAGAGAGAGAGAGAGAGAGAGAGAGAGAGAGAGAGAGAGAGAGAGAGAGAGAGAGAGAGAGAGAGAGAGAGAGAGAGAGAGAGAGAGATTACACAACTCTTGGTTGATACTTTTGTGTATGTTTAGATAGACTGAAAAAAATCTCACAGTAAGTTACACAAAATTGCAAGTGAGTACCCGTTAATAACAAAACAGTGTCAATATCTTGAGACAAGGTCCTTATTTTTTGTTTTCTGAGAGTAAGATACTCTTTACGGTTAAAAAACATTTTGCGGTTACTCGAATTTTAACATTTCATTCAACGCCAACTAAATCAAGAATACATAAATGCTGATCATGCATGTAGTCCAATAGCCGTGGTATATGAGATAGGTGTAAGGCGATAGCTGTGGTATATGAGATGTGTGTAATGCTATAGCCTTTATTTCTGAGGTGTAGACATAAATACTACAGCCTCTTTGAATGAGATGCGTATAAACAAAATAACCCTGGTCAATGAGAACCACGTTATACATCTGACATAAACGTATAGAATAATAATTAAGTGTCACAGGTGTGTTGAAAATAAACCTCGCCCCAGGGTCGACTTTTGCCCACCCCCAACCTTAAGCGCGGACTAAGGATATCTGAAGTCCCCACTACCACCACCCAAGTTGGGTTTTGCCCAATCGCACCACAAAACGCTATGTAGCTGGCCCTGAATTAGCCATGCATTAAAGTGTTTTCCTGCCCTAGAAAGTCTCCGCCGGCATTACAGCGCGCGTACCTCCATACTGTACATAACGAAGTGCAAAAGGACGGGCATCTGTAGGGCCTTGTGGGTCAGTCCCTAGGACAGTCCATCCCCGGGGTAATGCTCTTAGACTGTATAGGACAGAATTCATACCCGTTATTTTGGTCTATTGTGATGGCGGTTGCGTCTACTGAACCCTTGTTTGACTTCAACCATCACCGGAGCTCATAGGAACGAAAACGAAACGCTAGGAGTTCCGGAGGCAATTCATTTTTACATACAAGTTACCAAAAGAGGATAAAGTGCACCGTAATTACCTGTTTGAATGTGATCGGTTTCGACAAATGACCGGTCACAACTAAATCTGATACTACGGAATGAATTAACAAGAACTTACATTTGCCCAAGTTAACAAAGAAAACCGACAAAGTCCAGGTGTGGGATTCAACCCCACAGAAGTAGATTGTCAGATCAGAATCTGCTGTAATTTCCAGCCCCTAAGCTTTCATATCTAATAAACCACTTAATATTTACCTGTAATAATTTGTAACAATGGCAATAACGGGTAATTCTATCACTTAGCTCACTGTACACATTCTAAATTAGACATAAATAATTTGGCCAAATATCAATAGATGTAGCCAAATATCAATATATGTAGCAATTTTTCTTGGCATCTCTTTATCATCCTTCCATGGATATAAAATCCTTTATAACTCTTAATAATCAAGATACTTTAAAAACCACTACAGTTAGATTAGACCGATACAAACAGCTTTTTTTGTTCGACCGGGTTAGCTTTCATTGTAATTTAATTATTTAACTTAAATGGCATCAGTTGATATCAGTGTGCACGCGATAATAACAAAAGCCTTTAAATTACACGTCTTTTCTTTTCAAAATAGTGTGATTTAGATGTTTAATGTATCTTTAAAATTTTACAGTCAATCCCTACAATGTCTGCAGTGTGACAGTTTACAGTGATGACATGTAGCATGATGAGAAACCCAGTCACATTATCCGGATACTAGGCCGACCAGTCCTAACGCTAAGGTCTTACTGCTGAGCGCCAAGCGAGGCAGCTGTTAGTAACACAGCTGTTAGTAACACTTTTCAAAGTCTCTGGTATGATTCAGCTGGGGTTCGAACCAGCGACATCCCGCATCCAAAGCGGACGCTCTAACCACTAGGCACATTGCACATAAGAAATATAAACTTATTTTATTATTTACTATTTTTTATTACAGACAGTTACGGCGATACGGCGATAGTCTAAATTGTATAAAGTTTAAATTACGAAGGCAGAGAAAAGCTTATCAAAGCTTACGATGAAGAGCTGATTTAGAATCATGCCGATTTGGGAAAAACCATTGTCTCAGTAACGTTTTTCCAATGGATCTATACTTTGTCATTTTGACAATTAATAACCTTTGAAATTCCTGTTGTTTTCATTATACCGTCTCCAATTTCGCTTTTAAGTGAGTAAGTGTGTATTTTTTATTTATTTCTTTTTTGGTCTGGGACACCACGATTGTCATAGATACTTTGCCGATAAGGGTTTGTAGAATCATTCAATTTCTAGTGTCAAATCAGTACTTTTGAGTAACGTCTTCAAAAACATGTCTATCACCACCTTCATGCTATTTGCTAAAGTGTTACGATATTCCAGGTACTGTCAAATTTTTTCACCACTGTCCATTTTCCCCTAGTATTGCTGCCAGGTCACGCGTGCGAGATCTGCGTGAGTCACGATGTCAAACTCCAGAGAGATACCGTTGATAGTCTCTTGCCGTCTTATTGATGCTCCAGATAACTCTGCACTGGTCATTGGATGTGAATGACAACTTTTATTCAAGCGTTGGTCATCAAGTCGGAAGGGCTATCGTATGAAGCAAGGTAAAACTTTACGCAGGTCAGAAAGAGATCCAAACCAAGCTAATCGCGCTTTAAGACGATAAGATGCGAAAGGTCTTCTATGCACTTTCGAATTACTATTACTAAGATTGTGGAGCCCGACAGAGACCTGGCCGTAGAAAGAAATATGCTAGGTAATGCACTAGATAAAACGAAGTACCAGGAGATAAGGCCTGCATTGCAGATTTCGAGATGAATGCGCGACGATGTCTAATGATATACACGAAGAGCACTTCGCAAACAATTTACCTGTATTCGGGACCCATCACCAACATTATCCACAAGGATGCAATCCATTCAAAGTGGTAAGGCATTACTATAGTCTTCTCATGAGTTTATCATAAGTATAGTTGTGCTTTACGAGCAACAGTCGTCGCAGGTGCACCGGCGCTATCTCCTGTCTTACCTAGCTTTGACATAGGCAACTCAAGAGAATGGATCAAATACGTCAGGAACTGGCCGAAAAATTAAAAATGCTACAGAAAAAATTCAATCCGGCGCTGTTGGTACAATTGTGTCATTCCTGCTACTTACAGACGGCAATGCTTTTCGCTGGCTAGCCGGGAATCTGGTGGTGCTTGTCATCACGTAACAGTAGCCATCGTTCTCCTTTTCAATTCTATATGTCTAACTGCATGCAGCAGAGCAGACACAAAACATGCAACTGAATTTTCAAGATGGCGCCATGCCCCGACGCAATACTAACTATGACCATTCATGACCAGTGCGGATTCATTGGCTTCATGGTCTTCGGCTTCTTACTATGCCTGCGCGTTTGGCATGGTACTGGTCTGATCCTCTGTAGCGCTAGACGCGGGCGGGTCGAACTTCCTCTTTTCATGCTTTGTGGGCTGGGCAGCTGTGGAGACACTTGGAGCACTTGCCCGGTCATTTGTGCGACATCTTTTCTGATAACAAGTCAATATTGGTGCCAGACGTTTGTCCCAGAAAGTAAAATCTCTGGCTGTGAAGTTTTCGAAGTTAATATGGATAGGTTAATTGTCTTGCCGCAATAACCACGTCAGTTGGCAAGGTCAATGTAATAAATGCGTCCGGTTTGTATCGCTTTCATTCAACTCAAAACTTTCAAAACATTGGTCGTTTTATAATTTTCAGCCACAGCAGTATTATAGTGGGATAATACAGTGTCAATGGGAATTAGTATCACACACACACACACACACACACACACACACACACACACAAACAAACAAACAAACACACACACACACGTATCCTTATGGCGTCACTATTTATAGCGTCAAATGGAACAGCTGGGGTGATATAGCGTCAATGGGAATAGCATTACATATCCCCCTGGGTCCGTATGGCGTCAAGATTTATAGCTTCAAAGAATCAGCCTTTGGCGATATAGCGTTAAGGAAAATTTAACACAAGGACAAATGGATTAGTACAGGTGGCATGATGTCACGGTACTGGACACGTATTACACTGTAGCAAGGCAGTTCCGTGACATCATACTACCTGGGTCATTTATATAGACAAACACTAATTATTCGCGTTCGTGTTTGAGTAGAATAGGTTTTATGTGTTCGTTTTTTCCATAGATTGATGAATATCAATATATTCTACACAAATTACAAAATCGACTATTTTTAGGGAAGAAAGAATAAATATTTGCACAAATTATAAAATCGAATAAAAGCAATTTTTAGGCAAGAAAGGATAACTCTTTTCGAGGCATTGGAAGTGGCCCTGAAAAGAGTTTGTTATGTTAACACCAGTTCGTTAATATACAAGGCATCTTCACTGATCTTCTCTTTCTCAAATTTCGTCTCACTTCTGGTTCGTACATGAAGACTCTCTTTAGACACACTTCTCTCTCCACATAGATCCTTCGTTTTCAAAGGGCTGTATCGGTGAACTGAGTAATGGCTCATGATAATCTGAATTACCTGGGTTAAACAGCATCGATAATACGAGGGTAGACGATTCTATGTTGCTCTACATCGTTTGTGACTTGAACAAATGAAGAGAATGAAGTGCAACACGTTTATTTATAGGAAAGAGCGGATTGAAATGGATTGAAATTGTTCACCAATCCCAACCTGTGTTTCAAAATTCAGTCACTTCAAGGAGTCTGTCTTCCAATCCGATGAGAGCTACCGGTGACGTCACATTCCCTCTATAGGCACACTAGCATTTGTGCGCAGTGAATTCATGCGACATTGTTTTGTAAACCTTATGGAACCTAACAGAAATTTTATTGATAGGAAACTGGATGTGAAACTACCTCGGACTCCCCACCCCATCTGATTATTGATCATGTGAAAGCATTAGGAATACATTTTGGTGAAAACTCTACCCATCTAAATTGTTGCGAGTTAGTAATTAAAATTAAAACGCAAATTGAAATTTTGGCGCATTCATGGCTGCATCTAATAAACCCCTTACAAGTAGCTAAAATCTACACGTATCGCCAATTTAACTATATAATGAATTCAACAAACGTTACAGAAGCAATGATTGGGAATATTAAAAGAAAAATATTGAGCTTTATTTGGAAGAATAAAATCCACTATTTAAAGAAAAAATACATCTGTAGACCGAAAGATAGAGGGGGACTGGCTCTGCCAAACAAAACAAAAAACATTTATACTGGATAAATATTAAATTTTAAATTTTAAATAACTCTCAAGAACATCCATGATAAGCACTATATATTTACCTATTTGGCTATATTTGTAAATTTAATAATAAAATTTATAAAATTAACAAACTAACCAAATTATTAGAGCCTCCAGGATCTTATAGGAGAAAAAGAGAAATATTATATATATATATATATATATATATATATATATATATATATATATATATATATATATATATATATATATATATATATATATATATCTTAGATTACGGACTAAAGAAAACGATACATATACAATTTTATAACACTGGGTAAACATGAAATTGAATATCGCCTTCCTCAATTTAACTGGTCGTTCGTTTGGAAGAACTGAGCAGGTAGTATAGGATCGGCCTTTGTTCAAAGCAGTCTCTTCCTACACTTATATGACCAATGGCTGACAGTGAAAGGGCATTTAACAGACATTTGTTATCCTATTTACCAAAATGCAGATCATGTGATAAATATATAGACTTAAAGAAACATTTAGTACTGCAATGTAATGAAATGAAAACAGAGACATTATAGAAAATAAACTTAGCAACAAATATGGCAAATATCATATTAATCAGCTACTATATAAAAAATAATGTTAAGGATAAAGAAATTTACAATGAAGTAGTCGAGTATATCAACTCGATTATGAAAACTAAATTGAATCTTAACAGTTAACTAATAGGACTATAGTAATATACTATTACTGGCAGTGGGATTTGACGATCGGGGCATTATATAGCCCAATGCCCTTTACTCTTACAGATATAGTAAGTATCATGACTTTCATCTCGAAAAGGAGGATGAGTAGTCCGTCGGCATGACATAATAAAACTTTGGTATGACACCTCGTTCATCCTGCTGATTGGTTTGAGAGCAAAATTAATACTGCATGTCGACAAGAACAATACGGTAGAATGGAAAAGTGCATGGAAAACTATTAAATATTCGGACTGAGAAAACAACGAAGAGAGGAAGAACTCCTGGATAGCTAAAGACACATCCTGTTGCATTCCTGAAATGCAAAAATTGCAAGACGTCTTCGCTCTACGTTACACATTGAAAGTACACTCTCAAGAAGTGCGCGGCCCGCCGTTTTTTCGAGGCAAAAATTTCAAAGACGGAAAATATATTCACGTCAATCATCAAGATGAATATTTTGATGTCATTACCAGCATCACTGCATTCCTGTCACATAATTATTATTGTGAGAAATGTGACTATGGTTATAACAATCGAGAGCAACACAACATTGCGGATCGATATGTGAGGGATGTTTAGCCTTTAAACACTGTCTGGACAAAGGACAAGAACGAGTACATTGTACAGCTTTTCAGTCCTGCCTTTTACCAACAACATCTGAAAAGGCAAGGTTCACAGCGGAAAAGTGCTTGTCAAGGCATATATACCAATAATGTCAAGGCGCACGTCTGTCCATAAAACAAACCATGTCATACTTGTCACCATACCGTGGACTTGGAACACCAATGCTATATTCAAAAATACCATTCCATACATGAGGAAAAAAATAATGACCAGAAGAAGAAACGCAATTTCATCTTTTTCGATTTCGAATGCATGCAAAAGACTGACATTCACATTCATAATTTCTGCGTGGCTTAACAAACGTGTAGA